TCAAGTGGCTGGGCAGGAACGCACACACACACACATGATATATATATAACTTTATATATATATGTATATATTATATATATATATATATATATATATTATATAGTATATTTGGATTGTGTGTGTGTGTGTGTGTGTGTGTCGTGTGTGTGTGTGGTGTGTGTGTGTGTGTGTGTGTGTGTGTGTGTGTGTGTGTGTGTGTGTGTGTGTGTGTGTGTATATATAATACCATATATATATATATATAATATACTATATTATATATATATTATATATATACGTATATATGTATATATATATATATATATATATATATATATATATATATAATATTATTAATTATATAATATATATATGTATTTATATATATCTACATATATAATATATATAATATACTATATATATTATATATATAATATATATATAATAAATATATATATATATATATATATACTATACACGCACACACAAACACACACGGCAAATATACCTTGATATAATTTCTCTTCCGGTCGCATAATGAAGTATCTCCCCCCCCTGCCCCCCTCCCCCATGTGTTGGATGACCTCCCATTAATATAAACATATTTTGCTTCGTGGCTACATATTGTGCTATTGGGTATGTGGTCGTGGGTATGTGGGTGTGTGTTTGTGTGTATGTTGCTGTGTCTGTGGCTTGGGATAGGTGCTTGTGTTTGTTTATGTGTGTGTTTTTTTCATTTATGTGTATATATAAGCGCCGTGTGCGTGTGTTTGTTAAATTTACTTTTTGTTTATATGATATATCGTGGGAGATATGGTCCATCTGTGCTCATTAGCATAACCAGGTATTTCTTTATACAGGTAACATGTGGGCATATATGTCTAAAAGCTCACATCTGGAAAACACCACACACACACACACCACACACACACACACACACACAACACACGACACACACAAGCTTATCTTAAGCGCTCATCGACATCTGCACGGGAACACCACAGCACACAGCAACACACACAGCACACAATCCACACACACACACACACAGGACACACATGCTGGATGATCGTCTACAGGTATCTACTGCGTACTGGTAGGAGTGTCACACACACATGATCGGATGGTATATGTACACACACACACTAAAAAACACAAGCACACACACACAAGACACACACAGCAAGTGATATCGACTACACACGACACACACAACACACACACACACACAATGCACGATGATCATAGCACACATACAAACAACCAAACAAACATCATCATCGTAACAAGCCGCACACACACAGACACATACACACATCTTGTAATAGTGGCCTCTCTGGAACGACACACATACAAACAACACAAAACCATTGATTACAGTTGTGTGTTAAAATGTAGTGTAGGACCTGATCTAGTTAGTTGAGACGCACAAGCCCACACAACATAACACCAAACACACACATACACAGCACACACACACACACACACACATTACACACAACGACACGCACACTCACACAAAACACTCACACATACAAACAAACAAGCACGCCATAGGTAGGTTTCTGTGCGCGTGTGAGACGCACAAGCCTACACACTTACACAATTAACACACACACGGCCCACACTCAAACAAAACACAGCCAAACGCACAAACAAACACATTACATAACACTACCCTCTCGCGCCCTCCCCTCCCTCCCCCACGACCTTGCCCCCCCAAAAAAAAAAAAAAAAAAAAAAACATCTAGAACATTACTCGTAACAATAATGTTTAATTTCCACCACCTGAAACACGCTGCAATCATCGCATTCCCCCCTCCCGCCCCTAACCCCTACACCACCCACCACCGTGCCCCCACCCCCACCCCCCGCCGAGCCTGTGGTTTAAGCGCGTCCCACAAGCTGTAGCCTCATCCCTTGACTTAAATGGCGGCGTGGTTTGCCAAGTCTGAGCCAATTCTTTCTTGGGTCCAAGCTTTGCCCAAGTTGGGGATGCTTGTCGCTTGCCCTCCAGGTGTGTGTTGCTTGGGGAGTATGGGAAGAAGGAGAAGGAGAGAGGGAGAATGGAAGAACGGGGGAAGAAGAGGAAGAGGGAGGGAGATGGGAATGGGAAGACGGGGCGGAGAGAGAGAGAGGGATGGGATGGGAAGAAGGGGGTAGTAGAGTGGAAGGAGAAGGGAGAATGGGAAGAGGGGGAAGGAGAGGAAGAGAGGGAGAATGGGAAGAAGGAGGAAGGGCGGAAGGGAGAGGGGGAAGAATGNCATCACCACAGAATCCATATACCCACAACACACACACACACAATCCAATACACACACCACACATCCATACACCACACACACATCACAACAGATATCCATACATACACACACACACACAACACACACATCACACAGATATCACACATACATTACACACACACCACATCACCACAGATATCCATACATACACACACACATCACACAGATATCCATACATACACACACACACACATCATACATACATACATCCATACACA